TCTTCAAGGCCCAGAACCTTAAGCAACATTCTCAACAGTGATGTTTATGAGCATAGAACAGGAGTAATCTAATTTTCTACAAATGTGGCGTAGCCTTTTGAATGGAAAGCTGGGGCAGAGGTCTGTCACTTAGCAATAGTGACTATACATTTTATTAAACAACAAATTATAAATATTTTCCTATTCATAAGCTGGTGTTCCAAAAAAAACCAACCATGACCTGTGATGGTATGTATAGGATAATAATGAAATTCCCTCCCACCATTGCTCCCTCTAAGCTGTGGAGTCTTGTGAGCAAAAATTCTACTTTCTGAGCTACTGGCATGAAAGCTGTCAGTGAGCAATTTGGCTACTGCATAAATCAGTTTGCTCTGGAGCCATCTTCCCTGATCTAAGACAAAAATGTGTGAGCTGGAGGCTAAAAAATTGTGAGCTAGCTCACACTAACTCAGCTTAGAGGGAACACTGCCTCCCAGCATTCTGCTTGTATTTGCTTTCTGGTTTGAGTAGGAAAATGAGAAAGTTCATGTTTTTAAACAATAGAATATAAATAATGCTGGAAAATACTTAGTACAAAATGTGGGTTGCAGTGACTTAGCTAACGGATTGCTTTTCCACTACTCTTTTTTCTCTCTTATTTAGATTGAGAGTACAAGTTTCTTGTGTGAACTCCTATATGTAATTTTATAAACTACTTCTAAGAGTGGTTGAAAGTAGTGAACAAGAAGAGAAGCTTAGTCCTTCATCTTCTAAACAACCAGTGTAATCTCAAATATGGAAAAGAGGCTATTTCTAGATCCTGATTTGGGAAAAAATGTTTTTTTCCCCAAATGTGTTTAATGATAGCAGGGTGCCTATTAAGATGGAAAAATTCACAGCCAGTGATTGAATGCTTTGAGATTGTTCTGTGTATAGCCTGCATTGGGTAGTTTAATACTAATAATGGATGAAACGAGACCACCTTGGTTTGAAATGGACTAGATATTTCTTCTCTCTTTCGGAGAAGACAGTGAAAAAAAACAGCTTTTGTTTTTTCTGAGAATTCTTTTAAAAAGTTTGGAAAACCCAGCATACCCTTCTCAGCCATTCTGCTTGCTGGTTTCCTCTTTCACCTTCCTGTTTCCCACACATTACCAACCTTACAGAGATGCTGTGGGCCATGAGAAAATGGGGATTCCAGGTGAGTCATCTGGTTTTCCTCAATGACAGCTTCTGAGTTATGCCTAGACCCTTCATTGTCACTGTCAAATCTAACATCTTTTAGTTTGTATGCATATTTAGCTTCTTCTTAGTCAGTGCATTGGGAGGAATTAAAAACAACAACAACAAAAAACACTTCTCAGAAGTCAAATCAGAAGGAACAGCTCTCCCTCTAGTTTAATACATTTGGGAAAGTGTTGGAAATGGGAGGAAGTAGTGAAACTGGCCTGGGAATGTTGTTGCTAAGCCATTATGTGTTGATGCAATATTCAAGAAGAATCTGGGCTTGACTTTCATGTAATGGAGTTTTCAAACTTGGAGATGATCACTTCCGAACCACCACCACCAGTGTCTCTCTAAGCTAAATTAGTGTAAGCTAGCTCACAGTTTTTTAGCCTTCTGCTCACACATTTTTGTCTTAGCTCAGGAAGGATGGCTCCAGAGCAAGCTAATTTGTGCAATAGCCAAATCACTCACTCACAAGTGTAATGTCAGTAGCTCACAAAGTAGGACTTTTGCTCACAAGACTGCACAGCTTAGAGTGAACATTGACTACTACCACCACCCACCCTTATGTGAAACCCTTCTCCAGCCCTAATTTTTAATGGCCCTATGCAGTAGACTTAGCTGCTAGCTGACTATTGGAATATTTTGACACTGGTGTGTGTGTTAGAAGGCTCTTTTACAAAGGTTTGGCCTTATATTGAATCCATCCCTGAACTTGTTGTGATAGTGGTTTAGACATAATTGTTTCAGCATCTTAATTGATCTGTGATCTTAACTGGTGGGCAGTCTCTCGTGGGAAGAAATAATCCTGGCCAATGTTCCCTCTAAGCTGTGGTGTTTTGTGAGCAAAAATTCTACTTTGTGAGCTACTGGCATTAAAGTTGTGAGTGAGTGATTTGGCTACTGCATACATTAGTTTGCTCTGGAGCCATCCTTCCTGGAGCTAAGACAAAAATGTGTGAGCTGGAAGCTAAAAAACTGTGAGCTAGCTCACACTAACTCAGCTTAGAGGGAACACTGATCCTGGCCCAAGACTAGAATCCTTTCTCAGAGTGGCCAGTAACTTTTAAAGACAGTAAAGTGATCTGTGCACATGAGATCCTTCCCTTGAATTCCTGGTAGTCTGACAGCAACTTGATTTCTTGAAGTTGCTTTCAAAAAATCATTGTGGTCATGAACGGGGAGTCACCCAGAGATAAAGTTAACACACTTGGGGCACTCCCCAGGTATGTAGGTAATATGGGTTTTGTTTCTTTGTTTAGATAATATGCTTTCATTACTCAAAAGAGAGTGCACAGCAAAAAACGAAGCAAAGGGAAAAACCCTTTCGCATATGTATGCATTGGTTGATCTCTGAAGCCATCATGGGGGCTGGACAGCTGTCATGGCAACTCCTGTGCTGCAGGCACTTGGCTCAAGATGAGAAACTGCTGTGAGTCTCTGGGTGTAAGTCTATAGAGCCATCTCAATAAATAGCTGCTTTAGCCAAGCTCTTTTCAGCTGGGGTAGTGGCAGCCGTTTCCATCAGCGCTTGTAGCAGCCCCTTTGGTTTGGCCAGGCACACATCATACTGAGCAGAGAGATGGCTGAGGCAGCAGGTATCCCAGTTTTCTAGCTCCATAAACTTGGGGAGACCTGCTGTAATCCTTCTGCTTTATTCAAGCACTCTTCTGGCTCAAGTAGAAGAGCAGGTAATGTGATGGCAGCCCCAGCTGGCTTCATGGAACCATCCAGGAAGGACCTCTGCAGGCCTTCTGCACCAGCTGCATTTTCCTGGTAGAGCAGAGGAGATGCAGCAGTTGTTTCCTGCAGTCAGCTCTGTGGAGTCAGGGAATGTTGACAGGGGTTGGGAAGAGAGAGGAGCCAGAGAGCATCCTCCTCTGTCCTGCCCTTGTTTCCTCCATAATTTTCCCCCCCACTAGCCTCACATATTTAAAAGGCTGTCAGTGATTTAGTCAATATGGAATGAAGCTGAAAGCACTCAGAGTGAATGCTGCAAACATATTTAGCTAAACTTACTACTAACATACCATTATGCCGTCTAAATGCTTTTGTGTGATATGGTGCAGAAAGCTGTAACAGATTGATAAAACTACAATATGCTTGATGTATTTAGTGGAGAGGAACATTGTGCACTTATTTAGCGGTA